GGAGTTTGCTGCCAGGAAAGGAGTAAAACAATTCTTAGGTTAGGTCACCCATGACACTGAAGATGGCGAAGTGGAAGTCAGTTTCTTACGTACTGAAGGTTCTGGCAAAAGAAACTTTGTGTACCCTGCCACAGAAAACAAAGCATGGATTCCCATAAAAGATGCAAAGGAAGTCCTTCCAATGCCTAGCATAGACACTCGTGGACTTTACTTGTTTCCATCACCTGTTAATGTGACTGGTTGAAAAAATCTCTAAAGTGCAGAAAAGATATGTGTTCTAAGACTAATTGAAAAACAGGATTTATCATGTGAACTATCATGGAAAATGTTGATTGATATTGAGAAATAGGAGTAATGGACAGTGGATTATGTGAAAATTATACTGTGCCTTATCGCTGTGTCATGATAATTAATTAATATTCTAAACATATTGCATCTGGTGATTTTTCTAATGTACAGAAATGCTATTTTGCAATAACCATCAAGTAAGATTCATTAGATACAAATGTGTGACTTTTTAAACCTTTTTTCTAAGATTTTTCAATAGTGCCCAAAAGTGTCCCGTCAGAGACGTCCCGTCAGAGACAGTGACTTTTTACACTTAACAGCCCATGCTGCCAAGGAAAGTAAACAAAACTGGCCTGTTTGTGCATTAATTGCTTCCCAAGACTTGTACCTTGCAATGTGAATCACAAAAGTCTTGATTAAATGAAATTTCAAAGAGAATTTTGCATTGGAGTTTTAGTAAAAAAATACAGGGGTCAAAAATGTCCCGTCAGAGACAGACCTTTAAGTGATTGTCATTTCCACATTAATTTCAATACAAATTAGCTGCTTGTTTTACATAATCCTTTATGGTCCAGCTAAATAAAAATGTATTTAAAAGTAACCATGTGGATTGTTTACCAACTGTAATTTTTAAAATTGTCTCTAAAATGTCCCGTCAGAGACATTTCAAATACCGTGTTTTGACCCTGAACGAGAGACACACTACAAAGAGGATTTTTTGCCGTTTTGGACCAGAAAACGATGAAACTGTTCTTTCAAAACGTCTACAAACTTAAGTTCAGAATTAAACAGCACAGGGCACTTGACAAATGTTAAAGGTGTATGTTATTTGTATGTTATATATTTGTAATATATTTTATAAGCAGCCGTTTTCAGTGGTTGTGTTTTTATGTTCAGCTGATTGGTCTGTGACAATGTGCACTAAGGTTTGTCCATAATAAACTGCAAAACATAAAGATAAACCCATAATACTAAAGACAATACAGAAGCAGTCACATAATCTTAAAAGTGCATTCCCAGAGGTTTAGGGTGCATTCCCAGAGATTTAGATCGATCCAGAGATTTAAATTAACCTAACTCCCTGGAGGTTCACGCTAAATTGCAATCAGCCAAGCGCGCACCATACTAGTAGTTAATTACCCCCTTACAGCTTTTAGTAGGCAGGACAGACGCTTAAGCCGGCTAAGCCGGCTAAGCCGACAGTAATCTAGTGAGACTCCCCACAGGGAAAATGTATGTGAATAGGGTCTAAGATTGATCCACCCAGATTGACCTAACTCACTGGGGGTTCACACTAAATTGCAGTCAGCCGAGCATGCACAACAGTTAATTACCCCCTTACAGCTTTTAGTAGACGGGAAAGACGCTTAAGCCGGCTAAGCATACAGTAATCTAGTGAGATTCCCCACAGGGATAGATCGATCTAAAATCTGTGGGAATGGGATCTAAGACTTTAAATCCCATGCAAAGTACCTTACTTGTTGGCACACAGAAAATCTACTTATCACTCAGAGTTAAATGATCAATAGTTACTTCACAAAAAAAAAAAAAAAAAAAAAAAATGCAGCATTTAGCATTTTATCCGACTGTTTACCCTTTATTGGAAAATGAAATGACAATTAAATTATTGAGCAACGATCTGATCAATAAGTCTGCCCAAGTTTTAACCTAAATGTTAATATTTTAAGTGTGAGTCTTTGTCTAGAAATTGATCATGGCCAATGAATTTACTGACATATTCTGAGAAAGGATTTAACCAATGGAGCCTTTTAGATTTATATTACTCCCTTAATTGCAGCTGCCTGCACTACTGAATATGAAGAGCAAGAATGATTTCAAAAGAGGCACGGTTTCTTTCCAAAGTGTATCATCCATTACTAGTTGAAATACAACAGCATCAGCATAAATCAAACCTATCAATCCATCTGCACTAACTCAAGAAACCACCTAGAGCAAAATCTATGTACACAACTGTTACCCAAAGAAGCTAATGAGGTAACTTCTATTCCACATACAAAAAAAGAAGTTCATTTAGTTGAATAACTCGACAAGATATGCATGGAATCTGATAATCATGAAGAAAAAAAATCAATACTTTTTCTTCAAAGGATGCCCCAACTGTAGCACAATGGTAGCATCCATGGATCAGGATGATGGCATTGTGACCAGATAAATTTCACAACCATATATACACTCCTTTTTTTACAAGAAATTTGAACAACTACGTACTGTACAAGTCAAATGATATAAAGATATTAAACATTCAGTGGTAGTTGTTTGAAAATGATGCTGCATCACTTTAAAAAAGCAGATATCTCTCTTCAAAGGAATCCTATTCATCTCTATAACAGTCACCCAGAAAAAAAAAATGCTTGCTGTATTTATATATATATATATATATATATATATATATATATATATATATATATATATATACAAGTATCTGAACCAAGCAGGAATTCTCAGTAATGCATAAAAACCATTTCTATTAGTTTCTTAAAGCTAAGAAGTTGTAAAGATATATAACTTCTTGTTAAAGCTGACATGCCAAGGGATAAACCAAATTAATCACCTCAAGTTAAAAAAGAGATTTAACAGCCGGCTATCCACTAGTAGCTCACATGACCCGATATTTTCCCAAATATTAGACAGGACCTCGTTTTCAAAATGGACCTGCTGCTCTAAGAAAATTATGGCAGGAGACGTGAGCATGGAGAGGGGTAAAAATGACACATAAATTCAATGGCTTATAGAGTTTTGCTTTAATAAACTTTGCAGAGTGATATAGTATACCCTTTATTTCCATTTTATACACCTTAGGAATATTCATGTATTGATCTCACGGAGTATTATCTGTTTTATGATCTTACTGATAACAATTGGTCTCATATCTTGAATTTATGTCATAGTTAAATGCATAATACTTGATTTCTAATGTTATTTCTTTACGATTTGATGTACATTCGATGAAATGCTTTGTGAATTGACCTTGTGCCTGGTCCTGCACATGCTTGATTGTACATACATGTATACATGTGCATCATACTCATGTGTGTGCAGGGGGGGGGAGTTAATTTTCTGTAACTGTAAAAGATATAAAATGTAAACTAACTATTAGCACATATAACTTTAACAGTATAAACTGGTGATAAATAACCTAAATATGGATTAGATTTATTTAACATTTTTATACTTGCGTTGATTGGGGGTATTCAATACAGTGGCTTAAAGACTTCATTGTAATATATTATTACTATTATTTATTTCAGTGTGTGTGTGTGTGTGTGTGTGTGTGTGTGTGTGTGTAAAAAGTGGTAGTAAAAGAACTGCAAAATTTCCCTGTATGTCATTTTAAATCTGTACAGGAGGAGGATTTTTTCATAGTTTTGTAACATTATATGCTATTAAAAATTCATATTTTACTAGGCTTAGACAACATGAATGGTTCCAGGATATGAATTAATTTGCCATGCCTTTATCTGCAACCCTCATGACAGTAGCACCCATCAATTTCAAATGCTGTGCACACAAAGCACCATGACACAACCTCTAACAAACTATTAATCAAGGATATTTTATGACCTGTGCTGTTGCTAATGCTAATTGTTATTGTATCAATACAATGAAGTTTGGGTTTTAACTACTTAAAAGTTGTTCCAGTAGGTCTGTACAGTTAAACAATATATTAAAAAACATACAGTTATATAAAACAATTAATACATATTATGTTTAACATGCAATTTTTTTTTAATATTTAAGGCACTAAAATCTACTTAATTAGAAATAGAACGTGTCACTTCAAATGCATCAAAGATGGACTAGAATGTGACCACTAGTAATAAGTTAAAAATTTTTGAAAATTAATTAAAATTAATTAATATTATATGTTAAACTGAAGAGTTGACCTTCAAATAAAAGAAATATATTTTGAACTGCAATGTGAACGTGTACTGATATAGATACATGTATTTATACCAATAACTCTTTGTTATGAAAATAAAAAACCTACCATACAGTAATGTACCAAACAGTTTGACAAAGATTAATTACTGACTTTGAAATTATTTTGGTCATATTGATTAAAATACAGCAATGAAAACCTCTGAAAAAATTGGATTGTTTAGGCCATCTGCTAAAACGTCCATCTTACCAGAAGCATTGCATTTTACCCAAAGCGCCATGCAAGATAAGCCACAATTTATGCTTAACATGTGTTTCAAACACTTTTTACCCTCCTTTTTAAATCTTATTTTGCTGTGTAAAATCTTTACTAACATATCTTGCGATTCAAAGAAAAGACGTCATAATATTTATCTATTTATTTCTCCCAACTACGATCATTTTCATGATGCACTTCACAATACATAAGACGGGTGACGAGGGACACTTTTTTCCTGAGACAGGTGCTGTGAACAGTGCCCATTCACTTATATTTGAAACCGGTAGCGTAAGTGGAGACATGGCAGACACTCTGGGACTTTAGTAGTCCTTCAGACTAGCTGTACATAAAAAAAAATACTGGTCATACCAAACTTTTGCTGGTCCTTACACATTTTTATCACAATTTTCCCTACATACTTAAGACTGCTAGGCAAAAAGGCCATTTTTTTTGCACCAATTGACCCCAAACCATGAGCATCATAACAAATCTACCAAGTTTTGGTGTGATACAACTGTGGATTAAATCAAGACACTTCTGGCTTGATGGATACACACAGTGCTGTAGATGGAAAAATTCTGTTGGCTTTTCAGTATTTTGCATTTTAAATAGGTGTTTAACTAAGCCAAAGACTTGAGAATCCCCACATCCTGGTGGATGCACTAGTTTTTTGTACACCTACATCTTTATCCTTCATGCAGACATTCATATAATGTAAATAGGAATGCTAATGCATGAATTTTGCGCTAGTCTTGGCATTTGCTTCTGTGAGAATTACAGACATCAGTACTATTATATAATGATAATCCTACTCAGAGAGGGGTAGAGTGACCTTGTTCAGCGATTGCAAAATATAGGACTAATATGATTTAATATATTTCACTGCAGACTGCACATACCCCCTGCACAAGTAAAAGAGGCAATCCTGGGCTAAGCATGATTCACATAGAGCTCATTCCCATTGAAAATGATGGTCTACATAAATCGATCTAACTAGGTGGGGACTTTAGTAAAATGCAATCAGTTAAACAGATTAACAAACCTCCTCCTGGCATTAAGTAGAACACAGAAAAACTGGTGATTATACAAACACTTCGTATGTTGGAAACAAGAATAGGCGTGTTAATCTGTTAAAGTGACTGCATTTAGTCCCAGCGGAATTGGATCTATCTATGATATGAAAACCGATAGTTCCATTGGGAATGAGCCCAAATCTCATTTGCTGTCCGATATTAGTCCTACATGTGTGATATACCTGTTATCCCAAAAGGGTCAATACGCACAAACACAAGCTTCATCAAGTCAAAAGATAATATTCCTTTAGAAATATAAATTCACGTCAAGGATGTGGAGAGTATATTTAATATTGAATCTTCGTATTTGGGCACGAAAAAAATCAGAACAAAAAATCCTAATTCTGACAATGACGTAAAACCATTGTATGTGTTTTAAAAGACAAAAGTATGTACAGTCATTCTTGACGTCTAGCAATTATGCTGCTGTGAAATCGCACACCTGTTGCTGACTGCCACTGACGCACTTCTGAATGTGACAATTACATCAGGGACTGTTTCGCTCCTAGAAGCAAACTCTAGAATGATCAAGTGGACCATGCAACTCTTGAACAATCACGTGGGCCAACCAATACTTTCTACACAATTTTGTACACAATAGTTTGTTTCCTGGGGGGTGAAAAAACTCCCATCTTGATTTGATCTACTTTGTGTATTCCGATGTCAGTTAATGGCAGTCTTCAATCGGTCAATGATTTCTTGGTGGCACAACTGGTAGACAAGCAGATCAACTAAACCTTATTTACAGACTGTCAATGGAATACTTGGTATGTTTTTCAGCAGTGTGCCACTTGAAAAGGTGAGAGGTAAGCTAAAAAAATTTTTTGAAAGCCCCCAGTAGATGCACTTGATGGCCACCATTTTATAGTTATGTGCACTTTTATCTTTCATTAAATAGCAAATATCAAAAAACGTAAATAAGAATTCTAACGCATGAATTGTCAAGCTAGTGTCATGACCTGAAACTGTGAAAGTGATAGGCTGAATACTGAAATAAATAAATAAATGAATAAAACGATTGGTACATTCACAATGAAAGTTAAGTTAACAATTTCAAAATATTAAGCCAAATTGTTGGGATAAACTTACTGTCGGTGCCTTTTGTTAACCTAAGGACGTCATCTGCGGTAATATCTTTCTTCTTCAATAACTCTTCCTCCGTCAACGCATCCTTCTTTGCCTTTACTTGCCGTGCTAAAAACCCTCCACCTTTCTTTTTACCAGAATTCGCACTCTTTGCGCTCATTTTGAAAATATTGATACCTTTTCTGAAGTTCTTATAGAATGGATATATGGTCTAATTCATTCAGTATAAACAAGGATATCTATAAAGAAACGACTAGTTACGGTGTCAAGCAACCAATCACCTTCCCCAAGCTTTTTTTCCAATATGGCCGACCAAATGGAATGCTGGGATTGTTGTGTTTGCTGTGCCCTGCTTGAAATTTATTAGACGAAAAAGCACCCAACTGAAGCAATTTAATCAAGTTTAGCCAAAAGCATTCACCGAATATTCGAGCTTTTTTCTTTAGTCGGAGACGGCTTTCTACCAGTACTTTGGTACTCTACATTACTAGTTTCAGAATTTCAGTGTCTGAGTGCCCATGATGAAATGTTAGGCCTAATCCTTAGTAATCCTATAATATAATGTTTATAATAAATGTTGAAAATGCATTACTCTACCTTTCCTATTTTTGGCACACCGAAAAAAAAAATTATAAATCTTAGTTTTAAGTAAAAAAATGTCATGCCAGCCTATGTAACTTCTGACAGGTGCCAGTTTTTGGTAGTTTTCAGTTTTTGACATCTTGACTTCAACGAAGCAGTGGCGGATTTAGAGGGGGTGGGGTCCTATAACCTCCCCCCTCCCTATCGGTTTCTGAAAAACATATCACACCAATATTCCCCTCTTGAAATTTGAAGTTTGACTAACTAAAGCATAGTTCCAAAGGGCACTGTTTGCTCTCCAAATTACCACACCAAGGGGGCGATGCATGGTCGGCTTCGCATTCGAGGTCTGTCGTCCCCCCCCCCCCCCCCCCCCAATAATCCTGAATCCGCCCCTGATAAAGTAGGCTACACCTAATTAACACATAGCCAGCCGCCGTTTAAATGATAGTCCTTATATCCTAAGTAAGTATATATGAAGGACAAATTTATGATATTACAAATAGGTTGCTTCCAGTGACCAATAACAAACCTTTTTTTTCTTAAAAGGGGCAAAGCGTAAAATTATAAACAACCTTTTCCACTTTAAATATCTTGTTCAATTTAGGGATTTAAAAAAATGTCAGATTTTTATAGAGTCATGACAAGCGTAGGGTAAAGGGGATAATTAAAGGTTGGTAAGTAAAGGATAAACACCGTTTAACCAGAGGAAATTTTGTGAAATATGATTAAATCACGAAAAAAAAAATCTTGCAGTATGATTTGTTAAAATTTTTTTAAACTTTCTCTAAATGTAAAACTCAAGCGACGCCATAATCGTTCACACTACAGTTGCCAAAATGCGCATTTCTATAATTCGGATTTTTCGTAAGGAATCCGATTCGGTAAATGCGTTCACACTCGCTAAGCGAATCCGAATCCCACGTTGAGAATTTCAGGTTTAACTTCCTGTTTTGAACACTCGCGCATGCGCCGCACAGGAAATCTTAAAATATCAACAAAAATTTGTGACGACAAATGCAACTCAAAAGACATTCCAGCATTCTTGAGAAGTATTAGGTGGCAAAATAAGTTTGTTTCCTCATGTTGTAGTGAGTGGTGTCCTCCAAATACATTTGGTGCAATCGCTAAAGTAATAAACCAGCGTTCATAGATACCCGCACTTATCTGCACACATGCGCAGTAAGATCTGTACAGGTGTCGATTCCGGTAAGTTATCCGGATCGCGCTTAGAAATCCACCTCGCTTGCAGGATTTTGAAAATGCGCATTTTCAAAATCCTCTTGCGTTCACACTACTGCATTTATTCGAATTGTGACCTAATTCGCAACTTACATCCGGATAACTGAGCGTAGTGTGAACGGGGTATTTATTATTAGGCCTATATATCACACCGCATGTCACGATTGTGAAGGCGTTGACTCGCCAGCGACTCTCCGCCGCTCCTTCGTAACAGAAACAAGCAGTACGTAAAGTTTCATGGTCCAATTGTCTATTTACAGCCCAGCGTTGCCCGCAGCCGACGTCGCTAGCAGGTCAAAGTTTGTCCGATGGTCGAATAGACGCCGCCCAACAATTATATATTGTGGCCCAAGTGCCTATGAAACTTTTTTTGCACGTCACGTCGGGGTCATGCCGATACTCCCCCGCACCGATATTCCTCCTTAGTATTCGTAAATTTTTGCATTATGCACATCGATACGACCGCACACCGATAGATCCCCGCATCGATAAACCCCCGCATCATTACTCCCCCTATGCAATTTCCACGAAACTTAGGATCGAGTAACAGAGTCAACCCTCCATTTAATTATACAGGTTAGGGTCAGTCTACGTAAGTGGATCAAAATCTACGACCTGTTTGAGTCCAAATTTTGCGGAGAATCTCATGTACCACGCAAGTCCTTTATGCGAAATTTCGAGTTCGCACGTATGTAAGCACGTACGGAGGGTATTGAACATTTCCAATAGATTCTACGAATAATCTGCGAACAGCGAAGCCGCAAGCGTAACTTGCTCCCTTCCTAAGGAGTTTGCGAGGAGTTTGCAAGTGAGACTTGCCTGGTCCAAGATGCACGCCGCAAGAAATGAAGGAGAAAGTGTATTCTGCGTGTTGAGTACGGCGCACGCCCTCACATCTATAACGAACAAAGTCGAAAACACGGCGGAACTGCGAGCATAAAAGGCGTGCTCACGACGCATGCTCGTGTCTCGACAATTTCGTTGTGCAACAATTTTCAAAAATTTTGAATTTTGCTCAATTCAGATTCTAATCTAATTCAGATTCAAAAGACAAGGAAAGAAGCTTAAAGAGCAGAAAAGAAGGTTGGAGGAAAAAGACAGAAAACGAAGCGCTTTAGCACTTCTTTTTTATTACTTTATAATTTAACAAATTCATCGTTGCCTGAAAAAAAGACATAGCTGCGTTATCTTAGATTAAAACTAACTTTGCCTTAAGTTAATAAATAAATAAATAAATAAAAGGCCGTACAATATATATTAGGTAACTACTGAGTACAGTAAGAGAACGAAATTAATTTTGCAAAAAAAAAAAAAAAAAAAAAAAAAAAAAAAAAATCTCAAAAATCACAAGGAAGAGCTGTAGGCCTACGTACTGTCAAGCTGCACACAAAGTCTGAGATCTACTTCGTGTAACATTCTTTATTTTCCCCAATATATTTCAAATAAAATGTGTCAATTCTGGGTTCTAAGAGGGTGGTGCATCTTGAAAAAAATCATTATAGAAAGTGTTGTGAATTACGAATGGGGTTTTCATAGCCAAGGGAATATATGCCTTGGGGGAGTAGTGTTTTTGCGGAGTATCGATACGCGGGAGTATCAGTGCGAGGAAGTATCGGTGCGGGGAAGTATTGGTGCGGGGATGTAAAGAAGCGAGGGAGTATCGGTGCGGGGATGTAAAGAAGCGGGGGAGTATCGGTGCGGGGAGGTATAGGTACGTAACCGTCACGTCAGTAAGATCTGCGACCCTGGTGGGGTCATGTTGACACGTCTCCGCACCGATACTCCTCTGCATCGTTACCCCCCCCCCCCCCTCGCACTGGTTCTCCCCAAAGTAATTTTTTTGCATTATATGCGCATCGATACGTCCCGATCCGATGGATCCCCGCATCGATACATTACCTGTAAAATTACCTTTACATGCGCACCGCTACCGTCCCCCCCCCCCCCCCCCCGCATCGTTGCTTCCCCGCATCTTTATTCTCCCGTATCGATACTCCCCCTATGCAATGTTTTCATATAATGAACATCGTTACTCATCGATTTTATATTAAAATAGGCCATATAAATTTGATAAGTTGACTAAGGAGCCGGGAGTGCGGCCTACCCTAAATTGAAGGAAATATATATATAAGCTATTTCTATCAAATGGAAAGATTGATTGATATTGGTGTGTTGTGGTAAAAAAATTACAATTGACCGCAGGGAAACTCTTTATGATGTTGCTTTTATGCTTTTAAATCGCCTAAACTTTGGCTTTGACATATCCTTTAAATAAACAGTATTTGTTTTTTCTAATTCCGACTGGCCATAGAATTTAGCTGTTGTGGTCATTAACCATATTTGAATTTAAAAATAATTAAATCCGAGCATGTTTATATATAATCGCCACTTCTTAACCAACTTATCAATTTTGTTTAGCCTAAGGCTACATAGATTTACGTAGCCTGAATTTTCTAGGGGCTCAAAAACCATCACTGTATTCATTAATGTAGAGCTGCTCTGTCCCGCAGCAGTGATTGCACTACAGGGGCAGATCCAGGATTATTTGAAGGGGGGGGGTCCAGTTTTTAGGAATGACAGGCCGCAGATGCAATTTCAAAAACCACAAGTCAATTTGCGCACAAAGTCTGATATGACTTGAAAGATCGACTAAGTTCTAAGTTACAAAGCTGTCCAATTTTGGTGTTTGTTTCCTTCTTTTTCTCCTATATTCCGAATAAAATGTGTCATATTTGGGTCCCAAGAGGGTGGCGCACTTTTGAAAAAAATCGTATTACAGAAAAGTTTTTCATTTAGAATTGTTCTTGGTGTCACATTTCTAAAGGAATCTATGCTGGGAGAGTCACGGTGCACGGGAGTATCGGTGCCTAAGGGAAATGTGTTCATCTTCAATGCAGTATTTCTCACCTAGGACCCAAAATATATCTTCTATCCTAGTTCCCATTAAATACTACAATTATTAATTTAAGATGCGATAAAAGTGATTTTTCACAAAATATAACACACCTGTAAGTCAACATGCTTGGGTTGGCAGAATGAATAGACTATTGTGATTAAACCTATTTAGCATTTACATTTTTAGTTTCTTAGGATCCATAATGAGAGCCAATCTAATGCAAAAATATGAAAAAAATGTGCAAAGGACGGAAAACAAATAATATTCACAGAACACATAGTATGTGAACACTGCTCATTGCCAACCAAAAGTGCCTGTGATTTGGTACGTAAGTAGTTTGTTCCCTGAAGCATAGTTTGTAAGCCTACTCAAAATTTGTACACAGATTATACTCGTAAGTTGATTGGTACTTATATTTTAAAAGCATTCTCAATCCCCAGTTCAACTGTACTACAATATATCAAAACAATATTTTCAAATTTATTTTAATAAATTTAATACAGTATGTTGCATTAGACTTTATGGACGTCCACTCTAGTAAGAAACTTACAAATGAAATAATTAAAGGGATAATAACTCTTCATATGAAATCTACATTTCACAATAAAAACATTGTGAATAACTCATAGAAATATAATATATTCTGTTTTACCACAAAAAACAGCAGTTATAGCTATTATTCTGATATTTGAACTTGTCTTTAGACCACGTGACCTCCACTGATGGCTATACTCTGTTAAAATCTCTTAAAAGATTTTAACAAAAAACTAAACTTTTTAGAAAAAAACCAGGGACTAACTTTGAATGTAAAAATGGATTCATTAACCATTGGTAAGTATGGGAAAATTGTTGTTTACTCCAGGAAAATTCATTTTTTGGCCGAAACGAAGAGTTATTATCCCTTTAAAATTATAGAGGTATAGTCTACAGGCCTATCAAGAAAGGATTCCTGATCATAACTGTATTTTGAGACACAAAGCACATTCAGACAAATTTGACAGTTCACTATGGCTCACTACCATTACTTTTTTTTTTAAATTAGTTCTTGCTTATTAAAGCACATTCTTCCATTAAATGATAATATCGTGCCTTTAATGCATAAGCCGCTGCCTTGGGTTCCCTTTGTCTTGTAAGCACTCCCATGTTATTTCTGTCTAATCCTGAATCTGTGTGAAATAATTGCAATAAAATGTGTATGCTATTACATCTCTCTGGAGAATTCAATAATTGCAATACAGCATGTTGCATTTGACTTTATGGACATCCATTCTAGCAAAAAACTTACAAATGAAATTGCAATAAAAAAATTAAGTTTAAAATATATGAAGCATACATGTGAAAAAGCATCTTTATTCTTTAATATGAAAAAATAACAATAATCATCTAACAATAAAATTTACCAGAAGTACTTTGGAAATCAGCAAAATTCCAGACCATTTCTCCCATCAGAAAAGGGATAGGAAGTCTCCTCATTCGGTCAAAGGCATCATGGTATTCTTTTATGAGATCCACCTGGTACTGCTCTGTGAACATAGCAGAAGGAGCCTGCAACACAGCTAGACTGCTCAAAGATGGCACATATACACACATATCACAAATAAACAGATTAAGCTTAGGCTTAGTGGATGGTGCAATAGTTTTAATAAATAATCTATCAAGCATTTCAACTATATTCACCTCACTGATTCACTGCTTTATGTTTTCTTTTTATACAGACACTTCTAATCTCTGTGTTTGAAACATCAATCTCCATAACTTCCCAACCATATTTTTGTTTTACTTTGAATTTAATGAGTAGCACTACTGGTTAAAAAAAGTGATCTGCATTTTTACCCAATAAACGTAATCAGTAAAACAAAAATGAGGTTTGGTTCTTACAGGGTGAATGTCACCAATAAACAAACAAAAAAATAAATTTAAAAATAAGTAAATAAATAATTTAAGTCAGTGTTCATAAAATAATCTAATTATGCTGAAACCTGCTTTTATACCAAACCTGCCTTTTTACCAAACAGTACATCAGTTTGGCACTTATGGGGCGCTTATGGGGCATATGTAAAAGACAATAGCCCATTCATGTGTATCTTATTGATGTTACCACCAGTTTCTTACTTTGTGAAGTCCTGGTATTGCCCCAGCCCCATACTCTGTGACAATGATAGGCTTCTTGTACTTGTTGTACCAGTTAGTAAGATCCTTGGTCATCTTGAGCACTATCACATCCAGATGTCCTTGGTCTCTGGACCAACCAACATAGCGGTTTAAACATATCACATCAACATACTGGGCCTTGAAATAATTGAAAAATGGAATGAATATTTTTAATCTTTATTTGCTATATACCATTATTTTGAAATCATGCATGCTGTACAAATTCTAAGATTTACTTTAAAATAATCAGTAAAACTAAAGCCTTAAATTTTACTCACAAGTCTATCATTATGTTCTTGTTTATTTGAAGCAAATGTAATGGGTCTGCCAGAATCCAGGTGTCTAGTGTGACTAATGATAGACCTGGAATACAGAACTTGTTACGAAATGGTCTCAAATATCATGTTCTCAACGTTCTGCAGGGCTCAGGTTATGATTTTGGTGATATTTAAAAGTGTTAAAAAGAGTGTTTCAGAAATTAAATTGATTGCTAATACATTTGTAAACATTTGAAATTAAAATACAATTTTATTATTCAAACCTTTTCCTAAATCACTTAACTTTGACAGCATATCTAATGGAAATGATAATAACAAAGAACCTGGAATTAAAATGTTATCTTCTTTTATTACTCAATATAACATTTACACTTTGTACAACTTGGACTTCATATTGCAAATCACATCCTGATTTTCTGAAATTGAGAAGAAAAGTTGATGGGGGAAAATGAAAGACCAATTTTTTACCTAAAGTAGTTTTCTGCCTGAGGGAGATCAGATTCTGGATCACTTGCCACAGACCACATTATAACAGAGGGTCTGTTTTTATCCCTCTGAACCAGCTCTGTCATGACTCTCAAGTGGTGAGCCTTAGTGGCTGGACGAAAATTGATAGATCTAGAATGTATGTTTCATTTGACTTTCAGTCACTCTCACTAATAAAACAACAATTAACAAAACCTCATCTTCATTTTATGTAATAAATACTAACAATAATATCTGGAACAAAAATATAAAATTACAAACAATCATCTTGATTAATTGTATTTTCAAAGGTTAGATTCAGCAGGACCTGGTATAAAAGTGTAAAAAATTCTGAGCAGCATATATCAGTAACCAGTAACTGAATTGAAGAACTGAATGCAACTAACAGTTTTATACCTGCATTACTGTAATATATTTGAAATTCACTAATGCTTTTACTGGCCCAGGTGTTTGGTCTTTTTATTGCCATAACAACTTTAATCCATCTACCTGAGTCCCATGCCTGGGCATTCATCAATGACCACAATTCCCTGTTGGTCAGCCTGGTCCATGATTTCCTCAGCATATGGATAGTGGGAGGTCCGGAAACAGTTGGCACCAAGCCACTTCAGCAAGTTGAAATCTTTCACTATCACAGCTAGATCAAGTCCTCTGCCTCGTATCTGAATTTTGAAGATTCATATTAAATTAAGTATGGAGAATTTAAAATGATTTTATATAAAAACACAAAAGGGTATGGCAATGTGATTTGTTAAGACCTAATGAGAGTTTGATAATAATTTGGCAAAATAAAGATATTAGTTATCCCATGTTTACATACATGTTTCTTTCGTCCCACCACATAAGACATATCCCTTGAAACCAACATTCCATGAGTCTGAAGGTCTCTATTATCAATTTATCATTCAGTGACAAAAATACAGAAAAATACAGGAATTGTTTGGGGTGATGAGAAAATGAGCCCAACCCAATCCCATCCAGTTGGGAACCTCATTTTTGGCATCTGAAATTGTAAGTATATTGGCATTGGGCTTGATGCAAAAACAAGAAGACTCCAAGTTTTGCTGCATCACACATATATCACACATTTAATTTCATATACCAAGTTGGATTTTTTGCTTTTTGGTATTTCATCCTGCTCCTCAGGGTGTTGAGTATTAATGACACTGATGAACTGGCTGTTTTTGGGGGGTTTATTTTACCCTTTATTGTTTGAAACTCCAGGTATAAAGGGTTAGTTCACTCTGACCTTGGTCTTGTTGGTGTACTACATTTTTCTTTTCTTGTGCAGCCTTGTAAATGTCCAGTCAGCACATTTTATTTGTAGTCCATTTCTGAATTGATATCCTCTGTGCTTGGTACGGTAAATGTCTGGTATAGTTTAGTGATACAATGACAGCAAGTTTAAGTAACAAGACTGAGAATAGTTCTACCTGTATTCCAAGTCTCTGGGATGGAGTACAATGGTGTAAACCAGACTAAATTTTAAATTCAGTTACTCATTTTAAAAAAATTAATAAAAAACTAATTTTATATATTCATAAAATATACGACTGGATGTCTATTTGAAACAGTATTACAGTTTTTGTTCAAATGAATGGGAATGAAATTTGTCATTTGAGTCTTTTACCAAATGTTTAGTATAATAACTATTAATGTGCACACTGTAATTATAGATTTTCTCTGAAAGATATACATCATTCCAACTGCAATGCAGAATGCTGCTGATACATAAACACAGTGATTGTTTTAACACAGTACAACTTGCACAAAATAAAGTCAGCACAGATTATTTTGTAATTATCACTTTTTGGTCACTATTAAACTTACATCAGCGTCTTCTTGTTTTGCCACTCCACGGCAGTAAAATGGTTTCTTGTTAATGAAGAGTTGAGAGCCATTCACCTCCACTGTCCTGACCCCAAATGGAAGCCTGTACACATCAGTTGACTGGGAGGTATTGAAAGAAACCTGGAGAAAGAAAACATTTGATCATCATTTCTCTCAGAACATTAAAAATTTATTTCTTGATGCCTGTCTTCAATATATCCTTTGCACATTAATACTCAGTATGCCTCATCATTATTTTTTAATCATTCACCCCTTGAAGAGAGAGTTTTTCAAGAAAAAAAAACAGATGATGAATGTTAATAATTTGTAAAACTTAAACAAATCCCAAAAGCCATTGAGATTTATTACCTTCAGTGTGTATAAATATGCTGGACCTCCACCATCCACCATCAAGTATGGCCACCAGAGGTTTACATTTTCAATGTCGAGCTCACCACCATCCTTTTCATCTGCTTGAGCTCTGGCTACTGTGTTACCATCATTGTCCAGAATTTCCACTGTTAGAGCTGAATTTGTTGCATTTCTCTTTCTGCTTATGTTATATTTGACATGACCTTAAAGGTGCAGAGTAATTAATAAATAAGATTGATATTTTTTTAATTTTTTGTTTACTCTGTAAACATGCAACTCACATGCTTAAATTGTTAACTTTTGCACATGCTCAAAATGGTATAAAAAGCAGAGATCTACTTGGAAATTTTAAAAAATGCATCTAAAACCAATCAAGTTCTATGTACAGGTACCTGCATGTTTATGGTTGTAAGAGCAGTTTATTTTAAAAAACACAAATCCTCTTGTTTTAAGTTGTTGAGAGAGAGAGAGAGAGAGAGAGAGAGAGAGAGAGAGACACCTTTGCTATGATAGAAGCTAGTTGTGATAGTGATGTCATCCACATAATCAACTGGTGTGGTGTAAAGACGAACAGATCTGTGAAGGCCTGCATAGTTAAAGGCGTTTGTTTGTGTCTTCTGGGTGAAATAGCCAATTGGATAACTAAATGAGACAGAAAATGTCACAATGACCCAGTTTTGTCAAATTAATCTATATATTTCTGTTGCAGTACCCTGTGCAAGTAGCAAAAATTTAACAGTTGCCCAATAACTCGAAAGCATCGCACATTTGGACCAAACGCAATCGTGTCGATTCTATAACTTGCCCATACTCACCACATATGGGGGTTATGGAATCGACTCTTGCGCTTGGTCACAATGCACAATGCTTTTGAGTTATGGGGCCCAGATCTTTTAAGATATGTTTAAAAGTAACGTTTTGCAGATTTAAGTGTACCCAAAATATTTCACAAGAATTTTAACTTAAATGTTAGGATAAAAAAAAGACTAAGAAATGCACAATTCACAAGTGGGACATATAGTTTTTCTATTACACACTATCATAGCTACCTGACAATTTGTAAGTATGTAGAAATACTTAAGGTAAAACAGAAGCACCTTAAAAGCTTTTATAATTCAAAAGTTGAGCAATATTAGTATAACATTCACAATAACCATTCTTAATGTACCTTGAAGAGTCTGTGTGCCACACAATTTCTCCAGGTGGCAGTGTTTCTGGAGTCAGTGTATTGTTGATGGCAATAGTGACCCTATTTGCTCCAGAGAATTTAAGATGTTCACCAACTTCTCTCTCAAATGGAAGATGTCCTCCTGTGTGCTTCACCACTTCTATGGAGTTTACCCACTAAATCAGATGTAGAATCAAATGAATTTATACAAATTAAGAATATTTTGGGAAATATTAAGATACCCAAATCAAACAAGACAGCAAAGCTGTCAAATGTACAGACAAAAAGCAAAAAATAATGCATAAAATAGGTTACTATCGACTCTGATGCAATAATACATTACGCTTAACTGCAAAGTCAGGCTGAATTTTAGTCCCGTTTCTTTTTCGTAGGTTTGAGGATCACAAGTAATATGGTTTTCTCTTAATGGTCATCATCGCGGCAGTATCCAAAATAGGCGTTTCTTCAATTTTGATACAATATTACACAATGCTTAAAAGCATAATGACCATCAATTTTTAATAATAAAATATAAATACCACAGATATTCAGAAAATGTGACTATCAAAAGTCTTCAAGCCTATGGGGGTTTTGATGCAATATTACCAAATGCTTAACAGCATAATCACCACCAATCTTTAATTATGCACTGCAGGGAACATGGATATTTTAAATCGTCTAGCAAAGGTCTTCAGGCTCATGGAACTTCAAAGTCACACCTTGAAAACACCAAAATGTAAACAAGAGATAATTGTACTGAAATGAGTCTATCTCCATTTTCAACACTTTTTTTACCTAAAATGAAGAAAATTGTTGAGATGGGAAAAATATCAACAGAACAATTTTAAATGTCCACTTTGCTCGAGATTTTGAACATAGTGAATGACTGAATCTGACAAACTGCAATGATGAGTTGTTTCCAACAGGTTTACCATCATTTTTATATTATCAACTAACAATATTGTTAAGATGCAGAAAATGTCCAAAGAACACTATTACATATCTAATTGATTCAATAATGAGGCTGTTAACATGCATTAGAACTGAATCTGAGGAAAAACCACTTATATACAAAAAAGGCATAACTTCATCAAAACTTAACTGATCAAGCTGATTTTTTAACTTGGTCTGTATGTTAGTTCTATGAATCAGTCCTGCAAGTTTTAAAACAAAATATGACCCTGTTTTCATGTTATCTGTACAATGGTGGATATGATGAAAAAGGAGAAAAAAGCAGCATAACTTTTGTAAAAATGGTCCGATCAAGCTGATTTTCCAACTTGACATGTGTTTTATGAATATTCATCAGTTCCAAAAGTTTGAAGACAAAAGGTAAAAGGGCTTTCCACTTATTGTGTTATCACTAAAAGTGCACAGCGACAGCGACGACAGACACAGGTGACAGCTTTATGTACGGACACAGATGTGTCCGTACATAAAGAAAGAGGGCTTTCATACAATATCTTTCTAATTTTTTGTTTTTGCTCACTAACAATCACTGCCAACACAGAGGTAAATTACGAAAAAACCATACTTACTTCACTGCAGATAAAAAATAAAATGTACTACTATTTAAAAAAAAATCCTACTATTACTATTAAAAGATAAGCCAACAGAAGTAATCACAAACGATCAATTGCCATGCTGATAAATACCACTACAGCAGTGTAGTGGGCACTGTCCACTCTGAGCACCACTCTCTTCTTTATCCAGTCTGGAGACACATAGAACTGACGGTCATACCAAACCCAGCCAACAAAGTCGCGCATCTCTCTGGTCTCCGTGATATCATTAAAACTAGAAGGGACAGGCATCTTTAAAACTGATCCAGTCTGAAAAAGAGGTTACTTACCACTTATACACCAATAAGGTTTTAATAAGTTTGTAACTTACTAATAATCAATGTTACTTCAAGTGAACTGGTCATTAACATCACAAGGCACTTATTATAAATCTTGAATATCTTTTCAAAGAAAACCTTTTATTTTATTTGAGCAATGTTAGGGTTTAACAAGAAGTTCCTTTTGCTAAATGATTTATGTAAATACATTTATGACTTCCTTCAGCAGATTCAACTTTTTCAAACACTTTTCCTTTGTTTACCCTTTTCAAAGGCTGCTTAAACCAATCTTCTTCAAATCCTTTATTTCTGTTAGTGGAGTCATCCATTCTGAAATCCCAGATCCCATTTAAATCCTGTATCTGTCTAGATTCAGATTCCCTTGGGTAAAGGATGCCATGAACCCCATAAATGTTTAACAAGAGTATACTACAAAAATAACATGGCACAATAAACATTTTTATGGTTCCTAGTAAAACCATTTAGAACCTGCCTGTCTGGTCAAAGTGACAGTGCACACAAACATATTGATAAGGTAAAAGCTTATCAGAATGGGGCAGTGAGGTTATCTCATATTGTGATTCATTTCCCTGATCTGCAATTGTTTGGGTAAAGTGTGACTACATTCTATAGCAATATTATGCACTCTATATATTGGGATGTTATTTCTGCATGTACAATGTAATGGTATTGTAACATAATTGCAGAGCTCAGTAACAATTGACAGCAAAAATTGGACAATAGAATATATGGTAAAACAGGTACACTGTTTAGGGAAACTAATTGTATTTTTCATTTTCTAAAATATTTCAATAACAAAATATGATTTATATTTCACGTTTTTTAAGTAGAATTTTTTATTTGGTTTGACTGGTTAAAATATTCCAAAATTAGCCCAATGCCCATTCTAATCTTTTATTTCAAAGACGATAGTAAGCATCATGAATTTACATGAATATATTTGTATTAATACTGAGCCTTAGCTGAAGTAATCAGTTTTCACAACTGCAATAATATAAATTTATAATATGTAAAACATCCTTTAACAAATGGAGTACAAAAGTACATTCAAAAGATACAGCTACACACGGTACCTTGAAAAGGTAAATTAAAAAAAAAACAAACTAACAATCGAACTAAAAAATTATTGAAATTTTGATTTAAATTATAATTGGCACAGCAAATAATGGAAATCTGAGCAGTTATGCTGTGAAATCATCCATACTACTTTTATTACAGCATGTTAAAAATTGTTCAATATCATGTCACATCACATTTAAGTCCATGTTAAACAGTAATTTAATACAATTAATTATCAGTAGTCAGCTGTAAATTGTTATTGCACATAATAAATTGTATTTCTTTCCAAAAATAACACCACCATCAAGGATTGCACACTGTCAGATTAAATTTAACTGGTAAGCAGTTCAGTGAAAGCAAGTTCTAAACCATTTACAGCTCTTGAAAATAAGTGGATAAGTTGAAACTTTTCCTGCATGTTCTCCCTGATCTCCTGTTAATAAGCCCCTGATACCTATCCCGCAGGAAATGAGCAGCCATCTTGGGTTGTCTCTGCCGTGTGAAGACTCCTTTCTTATTGCCATCAACTCTGGTAGTTGCTTAAAAATGTAAGATCATTTATGAAACAGCTACTTTAAATCAAACACTTTTGTAAAAAAATTAGCAAGCAAACAATAATGTCCACAAAAAATTAATATAACAACTGACCATAATTTTATCATTTTTATATTTCTACAAAAAAATATTTGTTGAATAAAATTCCCACACTCATCAAATTAAAAAAATATATTAGGTTAGCCCATCTCATACACTTTATTCATATTGTTTGAAGTTACTGAACTAGCACCCCCTTACTTTGATCAGTCTGGAAGTCTGCAAAGTTCCACACCATTTCTCCCACCAAGAACTGTTTTCTCAAAGCATCAAATATCTCATGGTATTTCCTCATGAACTGTACTTGATATTCTTCTGTGAATGCATCAGAGGGAAGCTGTCAAATTAAAATAATCAGTTCCCTTTAAAAGATCAAGCACTGTTTAACTCCCTAAATAAAAGACAAAAATTATTTATTTTCCCATTTTATGTAATTTATAAAGGAATTTTTTCAATTTCTCATATCCTAATAAATCATGTTTTACAACTAAATCTCACTTTAATATAACTAACATTATAATGGAACTAGAGGATCAGAGAGGCGANTAAAAAACTAATTTTATATATTCATAAAATATACGACTGGATGTCTCTTTGAAACAGTATTACAGTTTTTGTTCAAATGAATGGTAATGAAATTTGTCATTTGAGTCTTTTACCAAATGTTTTGTACAATAGCTATTAATGTGCACACTGTAATTATAGATTTTCTCTGAAAGATATACATCATTCCAACTGCAATGCAGAATGCTGCTGATACATAAACACAGTGATTGTTTTAACACAGTACAACTTGCACAAAATAAAGTCAGTACAGATTATTTTGTAATTATCACTTTTTGGTCACTTTTAAACTTACATCAGCGTCTTCTTGTTTTGCCACTCCACGGCAGTAAAATGGTTTCTTGTTAATGAAGAGTTGAGAGCCATTCACCTCCACTGTCCTGACCCCAAATGGAAGCCTGTACACATCAGTTGACTGGGAGGTATTGAAAGAAACCTGGAGAAAGAAAACATTTGATCATCATTTCTCTCAGAACATTAAAAATTTATTTCTTGATGCCTGTCTTCAATATATCCTTTACACATTAATATGCCTCATCATCATTTTTTAATCATTCACCCCTTGAAGAGAGAGTTTTTCAAGAAAAAAAAACAGATGATGAATGTTAATAATTTGTAAAACTTAAACAAATCCCAAAAGCCATTGAGATTTATTACCTTCAGTGTGTATAAATATGCTGGACCTCCACCATCCACCATCAAGTATGGCCACCAGAGGTTTACATTTTCAATGTCAAGCTCACCACCATCCTTTTCATCTGCTTGAGCTCTGGCTACTGTGTTACCATCATTGTCCAGAATTTCCACTGTTAGAGCTGAATTTGTTGCATTTCCATTTCTGCTTATGTTATATTTGACATAACCTTAAAGGTGCAGAGTAATTAATAAATAAGATTGATATTTTTTAAATTTTCTATTTACTCTGTAAACATGCAACTCACATGCTTAAATTGTTAACTTTTGCACATGCTCAAAATGGTATAAAAAGCAGAGATCTACTTGGAAATTTAAAAAAAATGCATCTAAAACCAATCAAGTTCTATGTACAGGTACCTGCATGTTTATGGTTGTAAGAGCAGTTTATTTTAAAAAACACAAATCCTCTTGTTTTAAGTTGTTGAGAGAGAGAGAGAGAGAGAGAGACCTTTGCTATGATAGAAGCTAGTTGTGATAGTGATGTCATCCACATAATCAACTGGTGTGGTGTAAAGACGAACAGATCTGTGAAGGCCTGCATAGTTAAAGGCGTTTGTTTGTGTCTTCTGGGTGAAATAGCCAATTGGATAACTAAATGAGACAGAAAATGTCACAAAATGACCCAGTTTTGTAAAATTAATCTATATATTTCTGTTGCAGTACCCTGTGCAAGTAGCAAAAATTTAACAGCTGCCCAATAACTCGAAAGCATCGCACATTTGGACCAAACGCAATCGTGTCGATTCTATAACTCGCCCATACTCACCACATATGGGGGTTATGGAATCGACTCTTGCGCTTGGTCACAATGCACAATGCTTTTGAGTTATGGGGCCCAGATCTTTTAAGATATGTTTAAAAGTAAGGTTTTGCAGATTTAAGTGTACCCAAAATATTTCACAAGAATTTTAACTTAAATGTTAGGATAAAAAAAGACTAAGAAATGCACAATTCACAAGTGGGACATATAGTTTTTCTATTACACACTATCATAGCTACCTGACAATTTGTAAGTATGTAGAAATACTTAAGGTAAAACAGAAGCACCTTAAAAGCTTTTATAATTCAAAAGTTGAGCAATATTAGTATAACATTCACAATAACCATTCTTAATGTACCTTGAAGAGTCTGTGTGCCACACAATTTCTCCAGGTGGCAGTGTTTCTGGAGTCAGTGTATTGTTGATGGCAATAGTGACCCTATTTGCTCCAGAGAAATTAAGATGTTCACTAACTTCTCTCTCAAATGGAAGATGTCCTCCTGTGTGCTTCACCACTTCTATGGAGTTTACCCACTAAATCATATGTAGAATCAAATGAATTTATACAAATTAAGAATATTTTGGGAAATATTAAGATACCCAAATCAAACAAGACAGCAAAGCTGTCAAATGTACAGATAAAAAGCAAAAAATAATGCATAAAATAGGTTACTATCAACTCTGATGCAATAATACATTATGCTTAACTGCAAAGTCAGGCTGAATTTTAGTCCCGTTTCTTTTTTGTAGGTTTGAGGATCACAAGTAACGTGGTTTTCTCTTAATGGTCATCATCGCGGCAGTATCCAAAATAGGAGTTTCTTCAATTTTGATGCAATATTACACAATGCTTAAAAGCATAATGACCATCAATTTTTAATAATAAAATATAAATACCACAGATATTTAGAAAATGTGACTATCAAAAGTCTTCAAGCCTATGGGGGTTTTGATGCAATATTACCAAATGCTTAACAGCATAATCACCACCAATCTTTAATTATGCACTGCAGGGAACATGGATATTTTAAATCGTCTAGCAAAGGTCTTCAGGCTCATGGAACTTCAAAGTCACACCTTGAAAACACCAAAATGTAAACAAGAGATAATTGTACTGAAATGAGTCTATCTCCATTTTCAACAATTTTTTTACCTAAAATGAAGAAAATTGTTGAGATGGGAAAAATATCAACAGAACAATTTTAAATGTAAACTTTGCTCGAGATTTTGAACATAGTGAATGACTGAATCTGACAAATTGCAATGATGAGTTGTTTCCAACAGGTTTACCATCATTTTTATATTATCAACTAACAATATTGTTAAGATGCAGAAAATGTCCAAACATATCTAATTGATTCAATAATGAGGCTGTTAACATGCATTAGAACTGAATCTGAGGAAAAACCACTTATATACAAAAAAGGCATAACTTCATCAAAACTTAACTGATCAAGCTGATTTTTTAACTTGGTCTGTATGTTAGTTCTATGAATCAGTCCTGCAAGTTTTAAAACAAAATATGACCCTGTTTTCATGTTATCTGTACAATGGTGGATATGATGAAAAAGGAGAAAAAAGCAGCATAACTTTTGTAAAAATGGTCCAATCAAGCTGATTTTCCAACTTGACATGTGTTTTATGAATATTCATCAGTTCCAAAAGTTTGAAGACAAAAGGTAAAAAGGCTTTCCACTTATTGTGTTATCACTTAAAGTGCACAGCGACAGCGACGACAGACACAGGTGACAGCTTTATGTACGGACACATCTGTGTCCGTACATAAAGAAAGAGGGCTTTCATACAATATCTTTCTAATTTTTTGTTTTTGCTCACTAACAATCACTGCCAACACAGAGGTAAATTACGAAAAAACCATACTTACTTCACTGCAGATAAAACATAAAAGTACTACTATTTAAAAAAAATCCTACTATTACTATTAAAAGATAAGCCGACAGAAGTAATCACAAACGATCAATTGCCATGCTGATAAATACCACTACAGCAGTGTAGTGGGCACTGTCCACTCTGAGCACCACTCTCTTCTTTATCCAGTCTGGAGACACATAGAACTGACGGTCATACCAAACCCAGCCAACAAAGTCGCGCATCTCTCTGGTCTCCGTGATATCATTAAAACTAGAAGGGACAGGCATCTTTAAAACTGATCCAGTCTGAAAAAGAGGTTACTTATCACTTATACACCAATAAGGTTTTAATAAGTTTGTTACTTACTAATAATCAATGTTACTTCAAGTGAACTGGTCATTAACATCATAAGGCACTTATTATAAATCTTGAATATCTTTTCAAAGAAAACCTTTTATTTTATTTGAGCAATGTTAGGGTTTAACAAGAAGTTCCTTTTGCTAAATGATTTATGTAAATACATTTATGACTTCCTTCAGCAGATTCAACTTTTTCAAACACTTTTCCTTTGTTTACCCTTTTCAAAGGCTGCTTAAACCAATCTTCTTCAAATCCTTTATTTCTGTTAGTGGAGTCATCCATTCTGAAATCCCAGATCCCATTTAAATCCTGTATCTGTCTAGATTCAGATTCCCTTGGGTAAAGGATGCCATCAACCCCAGAAATGTTTAACAAGAGTATACTACAAAAATAACATGGCACAATAAACATTTTTATGGTTCCTAGTAAAACCATTTAGAACCTGCCTGTCTGGTCAAAGTGACAGTGCACACAAACATATTGATAAGGTAAAAGCTTATCAGAATGGGGCAGTGAGGTTATCTCATATTGTGATTCATTTCCCTGATCTGCAATTGTTTGGGTAAAGTGTGACTACATTCTATAGCAATATTATGCACTCTATATATTGGGATGTTATTTCTGCATGTACAATGTAATGGTATTGTAACATAATTGCAGAGCTCAGTAACAAATGACAGAAAAATTGGACAATAGAATATATGGTAAAACAGGTACACTGTTTAGGGAAACTAATTGTATTTTTCATTTTCTAAAATATTTCAATAACAAAATATGATTTATATTTCATGTTTTTTAAGTAGAATTTTTTATTTGGTTTGACTGGTTAAAATATTCCAAAATTAGCCCAATGCCCATTCTAATCTTTTATTTCAAAGACAATAGTAAGCATCATGAATTTACATGAATATATTTGTATTAATACTGAGCCTTAGCTTAAGTAAACAGTTTTCACAACTGCACTAATATCTTATAAATTTATAATATGTAAAACATCCTTTAACAAATGGAGTACAAAAGTAAATATTCATCTAAATATACATACATTCAAAAGATACAGCTACACATGGTACCTTGAAAAGGTAAATTTAAAAAAAACTAACAATTGAACTAAAAAATTATTGAAATTTTGATTTAAATTATAATTGGCACAGCAAATAATGGAAATCTGAGCAGTTATGCTGTGAAATCATCCATACTACTTTTATTACAGCATGTTAAAATTTGTTCAATATCATGTCACATCACATCTAAGTCCATGTTAAACAGTAATTTAATACAATTAATTGTCATTAGTCAGCTGTAAATTGTTATTGCACATAATACATTGTATTTCTTTCCAAAAATAACACCACCATCAAGGATTGCACACTGTCAGATTAAATTTAACTGGTAAGCAGTTCAGTGAAAGCAAGTTCTAAACCATTTACAGCTCTTGAAAATAAGTGGATAAGTTGAAACTTTTCCTGCATGTTCTTCCTGATCTCCTGTTAATAAGCCCCTGATACCTATCCCGCAGGAAATGAGCAGCCATCTTGGGTTGTCTCTGCCGTGTGAAGACTCCTTTCTTATTGCCATCAACTCTGGTAGTTGCTTAAAAATGTAAGATCATTTATGAAACAGCTACTTTAAATCAAACACTTATGTAAAAAAATTAGCAAGCAAACAATAATGTCCACAAAAAATTAATATAACAACTGACCATAATTTTATCATTTTTATATTTCTACAAAAAAATATTTGTTGAATAAAATTCCCACACTCATCAAATTAAAAAAATATATTAGGTTAGCCCATCTCATACACTTTATTCATATTATTTGAAGTTACTGAACTAGCACCCCCTTACCTTGATCAGTCTGGAAGTCTGCAAAGTTCCACACCATTTCTCCCGCCAAGAACTGTTTTCTCAAAGCATCAAATATCTCATGGTATTTCCTCATGAACTGTACTTGATATTCTTCTGTGAATGCATCAGAGGGAAGCTGTCAAATTAAAATAATTAGTTCCCTTTAAAAGTTTAAGCACTGTTTTTCCTAAATAAAAGACAAAAATTATTTATTTTCCAATTTTATGTAATTTTTAAAGGAAATTTTTCAATTTCCCATATCCTAATAAATCATTTTACAACTAAATCTCACTTTAATATAACTAAAATTATAATGGAATAACACAATTACTTTATGCAGTCCAGCCACGGTGTCAGCTCCATACTCTGTTATGATAACAGGTTTGTTAAAGGTTTTGTGCCAGTTTGTAATATCATAGTTCATCTGAAGCTGAATCACATCCAAATGTCCCATGTCACTGTACCAGGCATAGTAGTGGTTCACACAGATTATGTCTGTATATTGGGCCTGCCACATGAAAAAACACATCTTAATGGTAAACACAACTGGTTTTATATGTGAAAGACGGCCCTTGTGGGAATTAGAGATATGACTAAGTCAAAGGTATGAATCAAATTGATAACTCTGAAAGATCAGAATATACAACATTAATTTGCCACCCATAATCTTGAAGTGACCAGGAAACCCAAAGCATCACTTTACCTCATAAACACCCTGAGAGAGAGAGAGAGAGAGAGAGAGAGAGAGAGAGAGAGAGAGGGAGAAAGAGAATGCAACAGTTCCTTTACATTGACTTCAAATAAAAACTTACATTTGATTTTAAAAAACACTTACAGCCTTGTCTTCATAGAAATCACTTCCTCCCACTACAAATGTAACTGGTCTATAAGGATCTAGATATTTGGTATGGCCTATTACAGCTCTGAAATATCAGAGCCAATTATAAAAAAAATGCCAAAAGAAAAAGAGGGAGAACTAGAAAAGCACTCAGAGAGCGCAGACCTTTGTCAAGGCAGCAAAGTCTCCATCCCATGCCGTTTCACCCCTAAATTTTCATTCTATAATGATTTAGTTTTTTTATTTTTGATTATTGATTGATTATTGATCTGGATCACCACCAAAAACTAATCATCTGTGGCTTGGCTCACTTCTGACAGTTCCTGAAAATTTCATAAAAATCGGTCCATAACTTAGTTTTTTGATTTTTGATTATTGATTGATTATTGATCCAGATCACCACCAAAACTAATCACTTCTAAGTTAACCAATTTCTGACCTACCCTGAAAATTCCATCGAAATTCATCCATAACTTTTTGAGTTATGTTGATGACAAACAGACAGACAGACAGACAAACAGGGGTGAAAACATAACCTCCTTGGTGGAGGTAAAAATCTCCAAATTTCTTATATGGGCATTTTTACAATCCTGGGCTCCTTTTTTTCCCAACAAGGGTCAAAAATAGAAGTCATTTTTGTGTTGAAATGTGTACTTTTCTTGAAAGTATAGACCTGAAGGGTATAAGAAATGACAATCCTGAGATAAAACCTTGTGTATGTATAAAGATATGATCATTTGAATTTTGAAAATCATTTTTTTAATTTTCATAAGCTAAACCTTGAAGTGTGTGACTTTTATGGTAATTTAAGGTATTGATCTCCAAAAAACCACTTAGTTTTACTCAGAGAGTATTGCTCTTTTATGTATTTGCAAAAAAAATGGATGAAAATATCCAAAATTTGACGAATCAATGACATTTTGTAATTTTCCTGTTTCAGTATTAAATGTGACTCCATGAAGTTTTTGATTCTGAGATATTCTGAGGACTTCTGTACTTCACTTTACCTTGCATTAGTTCTTTATGTTATGCTTCATGATTGTGTAAAATATTATTTTGCACGGACATGTGTGCTAATTGCAGTGTCATGTTAAAATAAATGTCCTTTCCGAAACATCCCTGTTTCGGAAAGGACATTTTTTTAACATTTATGATATT